GTACAGCTGCTGGCCAAAAGAATAGATATTTATAGCCTAAGCAGGCTTTGGTACACTATTTAGACAAGGCTGAGGAATTCAGACATTCCTCAAAGGGGTTTATTATTGTTGTAACAGAGGGATTCAGAGTCTTCTCTTTAGAATCAGACCCATTAAATCAGATACTCTTTCAAGCTTACAATTTAGTAACTTCAAGGCATAAAATCCCATTCTAATATAGCAAGGGCTCCTTTACTGGTCTGATTTCAGCTCACTGCAACCACAGAAATTTGCACAGTTCCTATTTTGAGATACAAATGCACATTTAAAAAATACCCGTATCCAGACCTGATCCTCAAGCTGACAAAGCAAATCCATAATTAATTTTTCACCTTCTCCTAGTCTCCTATGTATAATTACCCAGTGTCTTCTATGAATAGGAATGTTTAAAAGCCATTTGAGGAAAAAATGGAAGTTCCTGATATATAAATATAGCTGGATTCTGCCATTCATGCTACCTTCCTTCCTATGTTCTTTTTCATCAAAATTTTAATTATATCTTCAGCATGATGAAACAGCTGAAAGGAGTAAGGAGTCAAGACTCCCATGGCCCTTGAGGAGCAGAGGAAGCAGTGGCTGCACACAGAACCAAAGCTCCCTGCAGTGCTTGGGGGGTTTCACCATGCAGGAGCTGCTTGACTGACCCCAAGGGTCAATGGCAGCACTCACCCCAAAGGGCTCTGACCAAAGTAATCTTTATTCTCCCAGATGAGATAAAACATGTACAAATATAGCCCAGGTTTATATATTCTATGAAATAATTAATTTCCTATATAAATTTTCATGTAGAATAAAACAAGTTGGCCCCATAGAAATGTGGGCTTTACAAACACAGCACTTTTGTTTCCTCTCAATGAAACAAATTCAATGCCACTTTTTAGATATGGAATCCATTAAATTTTGTTCTGCAAAGCAATCTTGCATTGATAACAATTGTCAAGTCTGACAACTGATGATTTAATGTTCTATTCTCCTTTTTCTAGCCATTACAAGTTGTTTGAAAATTAAATTACAGTTAATATTTCTCCCCAGTGAGGCAGTCTGACAGGATGTACAAATGCTTGCATTGCCCTGTAAGTCAGTTGTTTCCAGATGAGATGCGCTGACAGCATGAAAATAATTAAATGTCAATATACAACTGGCCTCTTTTATGAAAAATAAACAGGCACAAAGACAAACTGTTCCACTGCTTATACTAACCACCAAATGTTGAAATAACTGCTTATTTTAAACACAACATGAGGCTGCAGTGTGATTTACTGACTTTCACAAACCCAGTTTAGCAATTTAGAATGTGTTCAGAACTAAAGTTCTTATTTGTCTGATGATTCCTCATCTGCATTGACCTTCTCTCCTTGGAGCCACATGAACGCTGACTTTGCTGTGCCATCTCCACTCTGCTGCGAAAAGCAAATGAAGGAAGCCCAGACAAAGCCACAGAGGCCAGTGTAAGCTGTTCTCAGGTGAACTGGGATCAGAATGAAGTTTGACAGCTGTGGGGGAAGGAGAGAGAGCTCAGTTAGTGCTCCAGGCTCTGTGACCCACCCAACAACTGCCCTGCTCCTCCTGGGGCCAGACACAGTGGGGATGGGATGGGATGGGATATAGGATCGGATAGGATAGGATATAGGACATGATATAGCATAGGATAGGATATAGGATGGGATAGGATAGGATATAGGATAGGATAGGATAGGATAGGATAGGATAGGATAGGATATAGGATAGGATCTCCAGGCACTGTTAGCCACCCAACAACCCCACTGCTCCTCCTGGGCTCAGACACAGTGGGGATGGGAGAGGATAGGATAGGATAGGATAGGATATAGGATAGGATAGGATAGGATATAGGATAGGATAGGATATAGGATAGGTTAGGATAGGTTAGGATAGGATAGGATAGGATATAGGATAGGATAGGATATAGCATAGGATAGGATAGGCTATAGGATAGGATAGGATAGGATATAGGATAGGATAGGATAGGATAGGATATAGGATAGGATAGGATATAGGATAGGATAGGATAGGATATAGGATAGGATAGGATATAGGATAGGATAGGATATAGGATAGGATAGGATAGGATAGGATAGGATATAGGATAGGATAGGATATAGGATAGGATAGGATATAGGATAGGATCTCCAGGCACTGTTAGCCACCCAACAACCCCACTGCTCCTCCTGGGGCAGACACAGTGGGGATGGGAGAGGATCCTGGGTTCTATGGCAGGGAAAGGCTCACAGAGCCACCCTGAGAACTCACCTGCACAAAAGGCCAGTACATCAGTCCTGTCTGAAAGGAAAATTAATAATTTGTTATTCTTATGGATTTCAACCACCAAGATTCATTTTCTCCACACTCAGTGATGACTGAAAGGCATTTGAGTAAAATTACTAAAAGCTGTTCAATTACAAAGGGAGTTGCTTAACCTAGGGTTTGCCATATCAAACTTCTCATCATCCTCATGAGCCTCTATGCTATGAGTTTTTCAAACACATTATTCCAACTCATTTTAGATACAAAACCCTATGCACAGTTAATTCTTCACAGGCATCTGACACCAGACACAATAAATGCATTTACCAGATGGGTGAACAAATGTTTAAACATGTGAACATTTGTTTCAGCCATTAATGAAAAATACCACTGAACACTATTTATTTCACACTTGCAATGCTCCTTCTACTTACTCATACACGTAAGGCATATTTAGAAAAATCAATGGATAATTTACTCATAGAACATAAGGCTGACAGAAACCTTATGTTTTGATAGGCTATAGTGGGCACTGCTTTTAGAATCATCTTCCACAGGAATAAAAATAATCCTTTTCCATCCTACCTATATAGTTCTACAATATGAAGAGAAATTCACATTGCAATCACATCTTCCCCTGTTACTTTTTTTTCCCTGCTAATCCATCCATCATTCTTCTTGCATCTGAGAAGCCTTTAACATTCTCAGCTTGCTCAGCTCTGAGGTAGCATGGATAATTTTGTCTTGTGTATGCAGAAATGCAAATCAAAGCCAGCTGTTTATAGCAAAGCCTTCTTAAAACAAGGGGGCTTGTTTCTGAAAGTGAGAAGATTGTCACTGAAAAGTACAGCCTAAAAATGATTCTCAAGGAAATTAATGTAATTAATTATTTTAATAGGTCTACAAGCATTGTCAATAGTATCACTAACTAAACACTGGTGCGTGGGTAGTTCTTAAGACAAAAGATAAAAAAACCCTGAATCAATGTTGTATTGTAAGGCTGTCATTCAAGCAGAGCTGGGTGCAAGTGTTATGTATATAAACACTGTACATTTCATTTTTAAAAGGCATAATTTCACCCATCTGGTAGCACTGCCTGACCCAAACTGCCTTCACTTCACGTGACTGCTGGTACTTAAAGCTTCCTACAGATAATCAAATAATGGAGAGAAAGAAAGAAAGAAAGAGTAAAAAAAGAGTCCTTTTTTATTGTTGTTTAGCTGTGAAATAAGCAAATTGCTTGCCTCACCTTATATGTATTCCAAAATTTCTTTTTACAGTCTGAAAAGATGTCCTCTTTCCTCTGAAGGATGCTCATACCTAGTGGTAAAATATTTACAATAATCAGAAAAAAATGCAAAAAATGAAATGTTCACATTTTCCAGCGACATCCCAGACCCTCCAGACCCTTCTCAAAATACATTATCGTATCTTTGAAAGAAAAGTTGATAGTTACACAAAAGCATTCTGACTACCTAATAGTGTTACATCAAATCTCCTCATCTACTGACTCCCAGCAATGACACCAGGGATCAGCAGGGATTTACTGGGTGTACAGCTGTTGTGGCATCTGTTTCTCTGCCATACTACACACCTCTGGTGGTGTGGTGGAACAGAGAGGATAAAAGCACCTTTTGCACCCATGAGAGGAGAATAAGGCATTTTGCACATAAGCAGAGGCTCCTCAGGCCGACTCTGGGATCTTTCCAGGTATTCCCATGCCTTGGGGTTATCAGTATCTCTCTATGGATACATTGTTTTACTGCTACCCAATTCAGGGACTTTTACTGGCCCTTTTCCGGCCCTTCAGATCTTCCTGGTACTTGGGCAATTCTAAGTTGTGATATAGTGAAGATCTTGAGCAGAAGTATCTGGTGTTTGACTTCTTTTTTTACTTCATTTCTCTTCAATCACAAATTGAGTATTTTCCTTGTTGGAGTGATAGAATGCACATCTCCCAACCCCAGACAAAAAGAGAACCTGTCTTACTGGCTAACATTAAGTTAAATGAGAGCATTTAATTACATTAGTTTCACCTTTTAATTTTCTTATTCCCTCGTGTTTATTTCTGAAATAGATACTAGACTTCTTTAAAGTATCTTGTTAGCTTTTGAGATTAGCCTTTAGTAGCACGCTTTATTTCATAGACTCTCACAGCAGAAGCTGGTTCCCTGAACAATGGCATTTCCTGACATCTACATCTGTGTTTTGGAAAACGAGACAGCTGCTGCTGAGAACTGAGCACAGCGATTCAAACAGCCATGGATGCTGCAATCCGCGCGAGGTGCTCTGCATTCTTTGCTGCTAATTAAATCCACGCGCCCGACCGAGCTCAGGGCAGGCCGCCTTCGGTCCAGCACCGCTCCTGGAGAGCTCTGCAGTGCCACAGGCGGTTCAGCGCCCGCGGGCATCCTCGGGGGAGCTGCCGGGCCCTGCAGAGCCCCCCGGCCGCGGCCCCGCTCCCCGAGCGGCGCTTTGGGGTGCGGGAGCGGCGCGGGGCGGGCAGGGGGTCCCCATTCCCCGGGCCCTTGGGGTGGCTGCCGGTCCCGCTGTGCGCGGGTCGCGGTGCGGGGCCGCTGCCGGGGATGCGGGTCCGCTGCCGGGGATGCGGGGCCGCTGCCGGGGGATGCGGGGCCGCTGCCGGGGGATGCGGGGCCGGCGGACGCGCGGGGCTCCGCGGGGCAGCCCCCGGCACTCACCCGTGTAGAAGGCGAGGACGGCGACGGGCGCGCCCAGCAGCTGATCGCAGAGCACCTTGCCCAGCACGGCGGGCGGGCGGCGGCCGGGCAGCGCCCGCTCCAGCGCCCGCAGCCACACGTAGCTGAAGTTGCCGTGGAAGGCCAGGGCCACCAGCGCCACGCGGCGCGTCTGCGCCCAGTCGGGCGGCTGTCCCCGCAGCAGCTGCTGCGCCGCGTCCCCCGCCGCGAACAGCCCCCCGTAGAGCAGCACGTTGCAGAGCCACGGGAAGCGCCGCACCCCGCGCAGCAGCGCCCCGGCCATCGCCGGCCGCCGCTTCCGCCTCTCCTTCCTCCTCCTTCTCCTCCTCCTCCTTCCCACGGGCCCGCCCGCCGCCGCCCGGCCCCGCCATCCCCGCGGCCCCGGAGCGCTCCCTGTGCCGGGGATGGCCGGCTCCGCACGCCGGGCCCGGTGCGGGGTGGATGACCCGCGGGTGACGGCAGGGCAGCCGGGTGTCAGCTCCGGGCTCGCTTCCCAAGTGCTGTCCACTCACCCCAGGATGTAGGTGACCGTGTCACCTGGGTTCGGTCTAAGCAGCACTGTGGGGTCACTGTGCATTAGTGCCACAACAATTGAGTGACAAATGAACACCAGGCACTGTTTCCTTATTGTCTTTTTTGTAGCTATTTCCTTGTTGCGTGCTTACGTGAGTAGACTATGGCTTTTTCTTTTCAGTTATTGCTCTTGTTTTGCAGTCTGAGCAGGCCTGATGCACCTGCTGAGCAGCAGCAGCCCGTGCCGGTTCCCCTGCTTTGCCCTCTGCTGCTGAGACAACTTGAGGAGAAAGGCAAATGGTGTGAGGTTATTGAAGAGACTCGTTACACAGCTTTGTACGCACAGAACCAGTGCCACAAAGCGGATCTGAAGTCCACCTAGTGAGGTGACACTGAACAGTGACACCACGTAGTGAGGTGCCCTGCAAGACCTTGGCCATGGAAGGAAAGGAGCGCGTCCGGGAGCGCCGGGAGCTCCCCTTGCTCCTGGCAATCGGCTCAGGCTTGACTGAGGGAACCATCTCCAGACAGGAGGTAGTAGTTCGCTCTGTGACCTGGATTAGTGTCTTTGAAACTATCATGAATTCTACCATGAACAACTAAAAATAGGCATGGATGGCTTGTAGATCTAAGTAAAATTTAATACGATCGAAGTAAAATTGACACGCTGTGTCAGGGCCCGGGCCGGCCCTTCCCAGCCCTCATCCCTACACATCCCTGAGCAAACAACGCCAGCTGCAAACAGTGCTACTGAATAACAGCAGTGGCACTAATAGGACCGGGGATATGTACCGAAAACTAACTCCAGCTTGGGAGAACAGAAATAAAGCTCAGGAAAAGCCCAGGGTTTGGGACTCCAGGGGCTGCTTGTCGGATGGGGCAGGTGTGTGCTGTCAGCCGCGGTTGTGCAGCGGTAAGGCGCAGGATCCGTACGCGGAGGAAAGGCTTTGGTGCCCCCGTAGGCGATAGTGGTGTGGCAACCGAGAGGTTCGTGAAGGCTGGAGCCATGCAGAGCCCTGCCGGAGTCCGGCCTGCCACAACCCGCCATGGCCGGGACTCGAACCCGTGAACTACAGCTCCGCTCCAGAACCGGCGTCCATCGCCCCTCGGACCGCGCTCCCTGCGCATGCGCTAAGAGCTGTCACTGACCCTGGCTCTCTCCGGGACTGTTCCACCAGCTGGCGTGGGGGAGAACGACCTCAGGCGGTGCGCGGAGAGAAGGGCCGGCCCCGGCGCGCCGTGCGCAGTGTGCCCGCCGCGCATCCCCCCGCCGCTGCGGCGCGGTGGTGCGTGCGGCGGGGGGCGGGCCGGTTGCCCAGGTGAGCGCGCGAGCGCGGCCCGCCCCGCGCGGCTCCGTCAGCGCTGCCAGCGTGGACCGGCTGGGGCGGCAGCGCTGGGCCCGTGGCCATGGACGGCTCGCTCGAGAAGGTCTGCGGGGCAGCGCCGCCGGGCCGGGGACAGTGACAGGGACAGTGACAGTGACGGGGCCGCGCCGTGAGCAACGGTCGTGGCGGGTGCGGTGGGGCCGGGGCCGCGGGGAGGGGCGCGGGCCGGCGGCGGCCGGGTCTCGGTGCGCGGCGCTGCCCCCGGGCTGAGGCGGCTTTGCCTGCCGGAGCTTTGGGGCAGCAGCGGAGCCCCCGGGCGTGTCCCCCTCGGCCCCCACAGCCGCCGGTGTGACCGGAATCCGTGTCCCGGATCCGGACCTAGGCAGGACAACTACCAGGAAATGCTTCAGGAGCGGGGTTTTCTGCTTTCTTCAAAAAAAAAAAGGATGGAGCTTATTTCCTGTCAGTGTCAGCCTTCAGCAGGGTAGGAAAGGAAACATTACTAAATACATTATTATTTTACCCATTTTTTTGAATTGGCATGGAGACGTTCGCTGCCCCGTGTTTGCTCTGCTGCCCGTGCAGTGCGCAGGGCAAATATTGGCTGTGCCGTGCCCGGAGCAGCCCGTGCGCCCCAGGCTGCTCCGGAGGCTCCTGCCCGGCCCGGGCTCCTGCTGCCCTCACGGAGCTGTCCCAGCCATCCGTGGCCGTGGGGACACCGAGCCTCGGCAATGCCCAGCGCTTGGTGTGCTGGAGCCTTTGGGTGCACACGCCCCTCCTTGCGTCATTACCATGTGCTGCATGCTCGGTTTGTGCCATCCTTGGGGTGGTCCAGAGAAACATGAATGGGATGTGCTCCAGTGAAATGGTCAGGAAATTCGGGACTATCTTTCTGACGTGGCAAAAAAAGTTTGATGTACTACAAGCTTCCTGAAGAATACAGTGTTACAGAGTATTAGTGTTTGAAAGCTTAGATTCTTTACTATTGCTGGCAGAAGTGGCTCCTGCTTGTTCTGAAAAATTTTATATAAGTAAAATTTCATTGAAATAGTTTGGAGTATGCTGTCTATGAACTGGACTCAAAGAGAACCCTGGTGTGATACAGGGTTATTTAAAGAGGTGCATTAATACAGGGCAAGTGTAGTACTGACCAAGCTCTTTGCTTGACCAGTTCTTAATAAGAAGCAATAAACATACTGTAAGAATGAAATACCTAAAAGATGTCCATGTTTTAGTTATTCTTGATGTGAGGAATAGTCTGTAATGGCCTGCAAAAACTTGCCTGTCTTATTTTTCCATATACGCAGATAGATATGTGTCAAGAGTTATCATTTTATTTACTTCCTCTCTTGTTTATCACAGCTTTTTTCCACATGTGTGATAAAAGCTGTAGTTCTCTGTATAATAAAATGCCATAATACAATTATGGTCTTCTAGATATTTAGCAGTAAGTGCCCTCCTGGAATAATCTTTGGTTAAGATTGTGGTAAATCTGTACAATTTGCAGTTTATCAAGTCTTCACATGACATGTCAGAATTCTTCTCCCTAAATATATTTAAAATTCCTCGAGCCTGGGATACATTTTCTGCAGATAATGTCTGTCCACTTATCTCATGGACATTATTTAAGCATTATCAAAGTAGATTTGAGACTTTTATTTGAACCATGGATTCTCTCCTTGCTGTGTATTTGTGCAGGGTGCCAGTGGTGTGATTAAGTACTTTTAAACTTGTATTAACATTTGTTGCAACTTTGTATTTTTCATAACCATTTTGGTACAGTCACCTAATGAGCTGTGATGCAGTGATGTTAGGTGACTGCAGGCTTTAGGGTCTTGCAAATGGAAAAAGATTTTTTTAGCAGATGAGAAACTTCCTGAGAATTGAAAACATTGCACAGTAGGACTGCAGTGAAAATCATTGCAGAATCTGACTCACAGGTGTGCACACCAAACATCTCTTGGTTTGATTTTGCAAATTACTTTATTTCAGCAGCTTTTTTTTTTTCGCATTATTTTTTAAGGTATTGTGTGTCATAAGTGATATAATTATGACTGATTTTATCTGAAATTCAGTAATCTTTTGTTGGGTTGAACTTGTTTAAATAATTCTGGAAGCCTGTGTTAGATTTCAGAAGTTTGCCCTAACAGAACTATTCTATTTTTTTTTTTTCCCATTTGGATTTTGATTGAAGTCACCAATCTTTTGAAGGATTTTAAATTTCAAGTTAGGTGACTTTGCCAGTGGTAAAACAGTGCAAATTCTTTCCTTGTAACTCCTTGCTATCTCTACAGCAGTATTTTCCCTAAACATGAAGAAAACTATTTTGGTTTCTTGCTCTGCCTGTGGCTCCTGCCTTTTGTTACTGTGCTATTTACCACAACATCCTGGTAAGTTTACAGAAAACTCAGGCAGCAGAGCTGCATTAAGGTCCTGGCACATGTCAGGGGAATAAATCAAGATTAAAAGAGTGAATATCTGTAAGCAGAAGCCTTGTGATGACACAGTGCCATTTTTATTCAAGCCAAACAGTCATGAAGTGTCTGCTTTTTTTGCTATCTTAAACTTTTCCTACCCTGGAGAATAAAAACAATATTCTTTTGGCTGAAGAATACTGACATTGTTTGGGATTAATTTACCATTGAGAACAGGTTTTGTGTTTTTATGGTAAAATTTTCTTTTAAGGTGTTACAGTAATGTAGTGGGAAAATGAGTTCCCATGAAACAGGGAATCAGCTACACCTGTGAGTTGCTTCTCACAATATGAGTTTATGTAAACTGTTTAAAATTCATCCCTTTATTTCATTAGGAGTACAGCCTACAGAAATGCAAAACCAAGACTGGAAAACATTGGTATAGAAGCAGCATTCTTTCTTTTGAATTTGCAATTAATTTTCAGTCTTATCACAGTTGGAGAATGTCCCCTTATCCTCTCTGCCCAGTTGCCAAGTGACTCCAAGGTGTGACATTCTGCCTGTAAAGTCATAAACAGTTCACAGTTCAAAGTACTTAATAAAACAGTCCCAGGTTAGTTACAGAATGGGGAAGTGGCTGAAATCAAGGCTGTTGCAGGACAACCTTAGGGAGTTGGATTAACACATTGGGAGGCCATGAGTGATAAAAGTTGAGGCAGGCTGAGTGAGGGGTGCAGGGGCTGAAGGAGAAGGAGGTGCTGGATGTGAATGGACCCCAGCAAGGAGAAAGTCATGGCTGGTGCCTCTTAGAGCTTGGAAGGATTTGTGTGTCCTGTAAGTGCCTTGGCCAAAGGCTGCCTGTGAGCCAGGGGAAGCACTGAGTGCAGAAACTTCCTGCAGCTCCTTTAACCCCTCACCACCTGTGCTGGGAGTGTTCAGGAGCTCCTCCCACAGTCATTTCCAAAACCTGTTCAAGACCATGAAAAAATACTGTTTATTACTGCTCTTATTATTCAAGTGTGTTCAGAAACCTTTCTTAACTT